ACGCTCTTGACATTATAGTATTCGTGACAGTGTCGTATGATTTGTTTTACATCTATTAGGGCATTTTTATCAACACTTTTGATGTTTCCCAGCATTAGTCTATTTAAGGTTGGTAACAAGGAATCTGCTTCACAGGTTATTGTCTGCATCGATCCAACGTTCGACCAGCAAACGTCGAGATTGTGAATCGACATCGGTCATGTTTCACCGTAATAAGCACAAAAGGAACACAGATCTCTAAGTTCCTTAAAAGTTTTTATGCATCGCATCAAAGAATGTGTCTTTTGTGTAAGTTTGGTGAACTTCGATTTTATTGGTAAATACGACCATCAATAATGCCTTCTTGGGTGAACTTCGATTTTAATTCTAGTCTTTTTTTTAAAAAACAAAGTGTATCATGTACTTATGGTCGTATTTATTTAACGCATACATTGTCTAGTAGTTGCTTAGGGATGAATATTTTGGTTCGGGTTTATATAATCTAGATCAACTATAAAGTTGTGAACCGAGTCTTTTTTCTTTAAATTCAATTAATTGGATCTGAATTAAAAACCCTTGTCGAATAAATAGAAAACTAACGTACAAACCAAGATAGTATAACTTTTACAATAGAAAAATCAAATTAAAAAACTAATTGTACTAGTTAGATACAAAGTACCCACTCCTAACATTGTCTAACATGTGAACTTTCTCTATTCGTTAATCTTTTGGAGCTATGAATTAGTTGATGATATTGTCAATGGAACAGAAGTTGTATCGTGTCAATGTATTTTGCTTTATGAAAAAGTCGGATCCTTTTAAGTAAAACGGAAAAACTAACCAATTCTATTCACTTGGTTAGAGCTACTCAACATCCAAACGAAACTCCCGCCAAGTTTCAATCTACTCTCACAATGAATTCTACCGATCAAAAATCTTACCAAACATAAGCGCTTACCAAATAAACGGAGATTTTTCCATTAGGTCTCCCCCTCATATCCACGGTCAAACACTCACCAGAGAAAAGATATTTGTCCAATCGGTGTCTCCTTCAAACTCACACTCACCAACAAAAAAACTCTCTTTCAGTAAAAATATGCTCTTGCTCTCTATAGAGCTGATATGCACTTGTGTTTTCTTAGATATCCACGAATTGATTTGATAGACTTCTCCTTGATTTTCTCTGATTTAATCTCTATCTTCAAGATCACATCTATATCTCTATCTCTTTAGTCTTTGACTTTATCAGGTCTTTGACTCTATCTGAAATTCTTCACATGTATCTCATATTTTCATGAACTCTATCTCGCCGGATTCTTCTCCTGAAATCTCTCAAGGTTGTTGAACTTGCATTATCCATTTAACAATCAAAACAACCAAATTCCACATGTACAAATAATTTCTCTAACAATCTCTCCCTTTTTGGTTATTTCAGATCATGCACACACACATAAAAAAGGTTCTAACTTCAGCACAACTTCGCATCATGATTCAAACATATTTGACATTGATTCCGAAGTAACTTTGACAACTTTACTAAGTCGAGTTTGACTTTGAATTTGAAGTTACTCTGACCACTTTGATTTTGCCTTCTCCTTTATTCTTGGACGTTCTCGGTTTGTCTTCTAATGGAATCTTTTCTGCTTCACTTACATGACTTTTTTGAATCTTTCTTTGGATCTAGGAGTTCACACCTATTGTCACACCAATTTTCTGTTCACCTCTTAGAAATCTCATGCAGATTGTTTAGAGAAACAAATACACTTGTAGAAAGATAATATAAGCGACATCTCCTTTTCATCTAAGAATTTATTGTAAGTCTCTGATATTTCAACTCTATATTGTCTAATAACTGAGTCATTACCTCACCACACAACCCAAATCAGGTTTAATTTTTGAAAATCAAATGAAAATTGCGAGATTAATTAGGATCTTTCAAATTTCAAATCTAATACCATCATTCAGCAGATCATTAGAACGCAATGCTTGATCAGTTAAGTCAGAGATATCTCACTTTTCACCAAACTATACTTAACTGACTTTTCTTCCCCTGAACTTACGTTGAAATCGAGCATGCAAGTTTTACCATTTAAGCCCAAACTACCTCAATGAGATATATTCTTGTAATTACTTAAAATTACAGTGGAGTATGATGCATCAATATCATATGCCCTTAGACCATCGTATAGACTGCATGCGGTTCAATTTAGACACGAGTGATTCAATTTTCCAATCTATTCATATCAATTTTTTCTCCTTTCTGTTTTCTTCCTTTTTCCTTTTCCTTTTTCTTCTCTATTCTTTTTCTTTTTTTTTTTTCTTTTCTTTCTTTTCCTTCTTTTTCTTTTCTTTTCTTTTTTTATTACTACTTAGGAGTACTAAGCCAACATAGGAGTATCAGGAGATGTCTATGTCACTATTTTTTTTCGAAGTGTACTTGACATAACTGTCAGGTATCGCTGACTCTCCTTCGTAATCATTGAACCAAATCACTTTTGAATAGACATCATCAGAGATAAAATCAGATTTCTTCTAAACCAAAAGAATTTTTTTAAACACGTAAACTCATTCATGTCAAGTGGTTTCATAAGGTTACCAGTTAATTGGCGTTCAATGGTTGCATACTCAATCAAAAGACTACTATAATGTGCTCTTTGAGAAAGTGGTGTTGAATCCATACATTCCATTTGAGTGTACCCTTGAGCTACTAACCTACCTCTGTTGCGAATGACTCTTTCATCTTTATGCATTGTCTTGAGGTAGTACTCATCATTCAAAACCTCGTTCATCTTAGTAGATTCATCCTGCAAAATAAAGTACACAAACCTAACCATATCTTGATAATTCAATCGAGGTTTGTTTCTTATCTGTTGTAGATCATTCATACTTCCAATCACATTTTCAGCTGAGTGGTTTCGATGAACAAGGGGCTCAAGATCATCTTTCAAATCCTCGTCTTGCACTTCTTCAAAAGTCTAAGATGAAGTGAAATATACCTGGTCAAAATTTGAGTGATCATTGACTGGTCCTCGAAGTATATCAGATATCTCATATGCTTCTCTGCACTTTGGTGCCATAACTCTGTCATCGATTTATCATCTTGAAGATTTATCCAAGAATAATAGTTATTTGATGTTTGCTTTTCTATCAACGCATACTCATTCAACGAATTAGTGACTAAACATACATGTTTAGTGGAGTGTACCTGAAGTCCAGTGTCACAAAGTTGACTTATGCTAATGAGATTCGCTTTTAGTCCTTCTACCACATTCACATCTGTAAGGGTAGGCAACCTAGATGAATTCAACATTCCTTTTCCAATGATAATTCCTTTTCGTCCATCACAAAATATAACATTGTCACCCTTGTTGCTTTCTTCAAAAGTAGAAAGTAGGCTCATGTCATCAGTCATGTGTTTCGAGCATCCACCTCGAAATTCCGCTGACTTTCTCTTGAATTCGATATCGAAAACCCCCTAACCCATGCTAGATCCGTCTCAGAAACCTTGAAGAATCGTGAAGGACGTCACAAGCACTTGCGGTTAGTACTTGATAAGTCGAAGAACCCTATATGACGCAAGGAGTTCGGTTTCTAGTTCTCAAAGGAACTTCAGAGAAAACTCTCTCGATCTCTAAGCAAAATGGTCTAAGTCCCCCACAATAATCCCAGACGAATTATAAGGCGAAAACCCTAAAAACACACTAGGTCCAAAACAACAACGTTTTATGTCACTCGCAATAAAACACCAAAACACTCGCAAAGCACAATGCTCAAATGACACGATCGGTCTTCGGCTCGGACCAAAATGTCCATCTTCCGTCTTCCGACTTCTCGTTCTTCCTTTCGCCTCCATGCTTTGGGGCATTATAAAAAATACCCTTACTTTGCTATTTTGACTTCAAGACATACCCTTCTTTAGCTGTGACTCTGTGACCCATGTGATCAGAAATTTAATCTTGGTCATTTTGGTCGTAACGTTAAATTTATGATGATCACACCCATTTATTATGTTTATATCTTATATATCTCACTAATTATTTGATAAAAAAATTATAAATTCAATTATGATCAATATGACGAAGATTAAATTTCTGGTCACATGGGTCTCATTGGTCACAGCTGGGGAAGGGTACACCTTGAAATAAAAATAGCACAGGGAGGGTATTTTTGATATAATGCTCCATGCTGCTTTAGCTCCTCCGTGAACATACAGATGAACATCGTCTGCATCCTCTTGATCTCTGCTCTAGTCATCGGTCCATCAATCTTTAGATCCTTCTCTACGATTGGCTCCCGCTCATCTTAAGTTCCATCAATGCCCAGCTAACTGTCCTCATCACACTAACTCGGTTTGAGTTAGAGGCCTGAAACCGTTTCTCGACATCCTGATTTGATTCAATATCTATGTATTCGTGTTGGTTTAGGTGTTCTATATGTTGCTTTACGATATGAGTACCGTGACATTATGTATTGACAGTTCATGATTTTGGTTAAGTAAATGAATGTCTTTTTCTTTATTCGTTTTGCATATTTGTTGAATAATGAAATCCGTGGTTCGTTATGAATGATCCTAAACTCCCTAGTCATATATTATTATGGGAATGATAATATATTAAGACTAGCATGAGGTGTGATAGATGATCATACGGATGATCATGGATCACAGTCATGGATACTGATTTAGAATGAAGTACTTGATGACCCGCATGAGATTGTCACATGGACATGAGTCATGACTTGAATCTCATGTGATAGGTTCATGATTGGAAATTTTAACCTGAGATGTCTATGGTTTTCGACATGAGGAGAGTCGTACTTTGATTGCATCAAACATCTTGCGTAACAGGAAGATTATAGCGATGTCTCTTGGGTACGACACGAATAATGTTACAGATAGTAGATAGTCAATATGGAATTTGTACCCCTCATCCTGAGAGAGATAACGCTTGGACCCCTCGAGTGAGTTGAGACTGAGATACACGCAATCCAATGATAAATCATCTGATGTTTCAGTTAACTCAATGAACAAGAAAAGCAGACGAATCTGATAAGATGGCATGCTCCATGTCTTATGTTCGACATATGATATCGCGTTATAAATGTATCATTGTACTGGTTTTCGTTAGATCATGAGACTAACTTTATTAAGATTAAGTAGTCACAGTGTCTTCCTAGAGACTGCCTATGACTTATATTACCGAAATCGAGATTCTGCGTCTTACTGTTATTCCGGATGAGTCTACAGGGTCACACACACAGGGAGGACTTATGTGTAGAGTATCGAAAAAGAGAAATCAGATTTGGCCTGAAAAACGGTTGTACGTCAAAACGAAATCAGAAAGCCGAGATATTGGTTCTGCTAAAATGGAATCGGCCGGTTCCATATGGAACTGGCCCGATTCCACTTTGTCCAATTTCGACCTAAAATCAGTTTTGGGCCAGAATGGA